TGGTAACCGGATCGAAACATCAAGGACGAATTTAACGAACAAATGAGTAACTTCATCATCTTCTCAGACATACAGGAATTCACGTGGATGACGCGACAATGAAGATCTCCATTACCAACATAGCAAAGCGACTTGACAATGATCTAGAAAGTGATATTGACTCTTGCTGCAGTCAGTCTAATAGATAATCCGGACGAATGAAGGGTAAACAACTAGACATCAATATAATATTCTGGAATGCAGGAGGACTACGAAAGCACTACGAAGATGTTATAATATCGTCTTCAGAATATGACAGTATTATCTGTGTAGAGACCAAAATTGATCCTGATGACCCTCACGAACTGAGCTCCCCTGAATGCAGAACATATCGCATGGACAAACACGTTAACGCTGGCGATATAGCCTTCACTTATAAAAATAACATCAGTGTAAAAATCATAGTTACTGGTCCGGACATCCATCCAGACCTTGTGAATGAGAAAACGTGGGGGTCTGATCACTCTCCCGTATTCATCTGCCTCTCCCCTAAACGCCGTATTTATCATAAACGGTCACTGAAAATCACATCGGCTAATACGAACTGGGAGAACTTATCATTCTCTACAAAAGCCCTATTAGATCCATTGTCGACTACAGGCTTTTCATTTATCTTCCCAATATGAACTTCATGAGAAATAAACTTTAAAGAATCCTTTCCGAATCTTTTCTTCTGTAGGAATTTAAAGTGCGATTAAATTTCACGCTCATCAAAATAAAGGAATCAACATTTCCATGCGAATAAATTGAGTCCAAATTTTATGATTGAGTATTCGATCACACAAATATTTTCATTTGTGACCGAGTTTCGAGGGACGACGCTGTTAGCCTGTTCGCTCTCTCGCCTCGGGACCGTCGTACTGTACACACGTACGGGGAAACTGTCATTTATTTGTATTTCATTGGGTTCCCATATATTTTTCCGAGCTTAAGCAACTTGTTTTATTTAATTTATAAAGATGAGTATATATGCACATTTTATATATCTTTCTCGTCTCCTGCGGATCGTTCTTAGGGTATATTTTTCATGTTGATATTTTGGATAATATCCATAAAACTTGAACTGATTTTTGGACTGACGAAACCACGCGGTTTATATGTGACACACTTCTGAATATAATTTGATGTTCATCATTGGACGTTTTCTATATTTCATCAATTTAAATTGAATAAATTGTATTTAGAATGAATTTTACGGCATTGAAACATTTATTTCAAGTACTCATTGTCACAATTATATTTTATTTCGTCATATTGATGCTGAACAAAATCGAATTTAGTTTCAATGTGATATTCAAGATCTACGTTTAAGGTAATATAATTAATTAATTAATTTACTGGTATATGAACATGTGTGAATTTATTAATTACGTTCAAATTTTGCTGGCATTCATTTTTTGTCTGGGATTGGACAATTTATTCTCTCAGACAACAAACATCGACTTATCATTGGTCCGATTTGTGCTATTGATTTTATTTGGGGTCGTTTTAGCAAAATTCTTAATGATTCTACATTCGATTGTTAGTAAAAAATAATAGTTTGAAGAGAAAGTAGTGAGAAATCTTTTGAAGAAAAATTACACTACACCTCAATTCCTAGATCCTTCCTTCCTCAATCTAGAACGCTCCAAAAAGTACTACTCGTTTAATAAAAATATCACCGAAACCGTCAAAAGGTGTACGCCCAAAAAAAAACCGTTTCCCCTCAGCTAAATAAAAATCCAGTTAAGTGGTGGAACGAGGAATGCGCTAAGGCAAAGAGACTTCGGAGGATAGCGCAACAAGAAGTGGCAATACGCCAGGGAAGAAATCAATATGATTAATTATAACTGGTCAGTTGCATTTCCTACTAGAAAATTGAAACGTAAGGAAAAGACATGTTTTATTGAGTTTGCTGAGAACATTGATGTTAGGAAAAATGGAAAATACGTCTGGAGAATGAGTGAAGTTTCGAAAAATGCTTGGATTAAAATAAAGCCAGACCACCTCCGGGACTCTGACCAAATTAAGCAAGCCACCTTCAAATCCTTGAATAAAATAGATTTCTCTGGGTGCACTCCTAACCCGGACTCCTCCTTCTGCTAATTCCTTACTCCATCGTTGACCGACCACTCGACTTCTCTGAATTTAATTTTGCTTTAAAATAAAAAAAGACCTCCTCTTCCGGCCTTGACGGAATTATTTATCAGTTGCTGAAAAAATTACCAACCTGTGTACACCTCGTTCTCTTAGACATGTTTAATGAAATGTACGAATCAGGACCCTTCCCTAATGAATGGGAACACTCTTTCATACCCTTCGTCCCCAAACCCAACATAAAGACGTTAGACCAATAGCACTAACTTCTTGCGTCGCCAAAACTTTCGAAACTATTGTTAAAAATCGCCTTCAATGGTGGTGTGAATTTAAGAACGTACCTCCGAACTACCAATCAGGTTTCCGTCTACATCTCTCTTGCATAGACAATCTGTGCAATTTGTATCTCAATCTTGAATTCAAATTCAAGGAGAACGAAGAAACGACAGCAACTTTTCTTGACGTACAAGCTTTCTTTGACAATGTAAATCCCGAAATATTGATTAACAAATTGGCGTAGATAGAGTATCCAGGAAACGCTCTCCGGTTCATAAAATTCCTAATACACGAAAGATATACTCAGATATACTCGACGATGGTGTATTGACTGTCCGCAAAGGAGTTCCCCATGGTGGTGTATTATCACCGTTATGATACACCATTTATACAAGACATCATAAAAAATACAAGTAATCAAATCAAAAGTTCACTCTGTGCTAACGATATTGCCCTATATTGTTCCTACAATGGAACTGATACAGAAGTACATAACTTCAAGAATTCCATTGTTCAACTGTCAAGTAATCTGAATAAATTAGGCCTAGTTTTAGCGCCATGTATCTGTCGCGCGGAAGTCATAATCACTATCGATAATGTTGAGATCTGTCCCAGTCCAGTGGGTAAATTCTCAGGAATTTACTTTCATCGCTAATTCAACTTTAATTATCAAATCAGTAAAATTCAGGAAAAACTCTGAGAGCTCTGAAAGTTATCAAATTTCTCCGACGAACGTGGTGGAGATCTGATCCACCTATACTTATCATTCTCTACAAAAGCTTTATTAGATCCATTATCGACTACGGGTTTTTCATTTATCTTCCCAATACAAACTTCCTGAGAAATAAACTTGAAAGAATCGAACCTCATATTTCTCTAGGATAGGGCTACATTTCATTGTAAAACATTATTCATCAAAGCTCTCTCGAATCAAGCTACTCAGTTATCACAAACCATTCATAACCTCTTTGAACTGAACACCTATTCACCTTGTGTTAGAGATTAACTAATGACCAAATGTATTTTTGAAATCCTTCCCTTGAAAGTTCAACTGTATCTCTCTATATCTCTCTATATAATGAAAAAGTAACTTTCGTCTAACGCTGAAGAATTTTCAGGGGTCATGACGGTCCCCGGGATCATAAGGGTCCCGGGGGTCATAAGGGTCAGAAGGGTCATAAGAGTCATGTGAAATATACGGGTTATATGGATCACAAGAGTCCTAAGGGTCACAAGGTCCCAAGTGTCACAAGGGTCATAACGGTCATAAGGTTCTTACGGAACCTAAGGATCATAAGGGTCATATAGACTACAAGGATCGTAAAGTAGTATTCGTGTAACGCTGAAAAATTTTCAGGAGTGTTTCGGCGAGAACTAACTAAGAATAAACCGATAGAGAGCCGGGATTCGGGAAAGGATAGGTGGGATTGAGTCACTGAAATAACCAACACTGTACGCGTGGATAGAGTCGCAAAAATTGTATATGTTTCCTCAAAATACAACAAGTCAATCAAAGTATATGAGTGAAAATAACCGCGAGAGGTTAATGGTCAAAATTAATCATGGCAGAGACTCGATGCAGTGCAGATGTTCACAAAATAACTGGATTTAATCGTAGAGAAAATTGACGCCATGTGTACTTGTTATGATAGGGTTTGAGACTTGAGAATATACAGGTGTCGCGACAGGTGAGCGATATGCAAATTAATTGGACACGGTCGATAAATCAGGCGCGCATCTAGGAGGTGCTGCCACACGTGATCAGCGGATCAACCTGTCGTGACATGAGGCTGAAGCCTCAACATTCTCCCCCCGTCAGCAACTCTGTTGGTGACCAGGTTCTCGAGAAGATCATGCTAGGACCTGAAACACTTACCAGAGAGATTACTCTTGACGACAAAGACCAGCGACTTTCAGATGGTAGAGATTGGTAACGGAACCAGCTTGGAGATCGGCCGAGTCAGTGTCGTCGACGCCGTTCTGACTGTCACAACTCCGGAGAGACCATCCTTCCCAGGGTGTAGAGCTGCGACACGAGCCAGAGGCCATTTCGTTGGCGGCAACCTTTCATCGGAGAGTAGAACCACAGAGCCGATGCGAATGTCGTTAGACGGATGATTCCACTTAGAGACGGACTGAAGCTGCTGCAAGTATCCTGTAGACCAGTGCTTCCAGAAATACCGCAGCCTCTGCTGGATCAGTTGCTCTCTGGAGAGCCATCCAACGTTGAGATGGTCAAGTGAAGGTTCCGGTAGAGCAATTGGAGCCTCTCCACTCAAAAAATGTCCCGGAGTGAGCAGCGTAGAGAGCTCCTTGAACGTGAGCGTAGTATCCCGAACCGTTCGAGTGAGATGATACTTCACTGATTTTAGCGCTGCTTCCCACTTTCCTCCACAATGAGGGGCCCCAGGTGGATTGAAAGACCACCGAGTACCGTCTTCAAGGCAAACTGCTGAGAGATGCTGGAACTCCTTTGATCCAGCGGAGAATAATCTCTTCAGCTCCTTGTCTGCACCAACGAAATTCGTTCCGCAGTCACTGAAGAGGTTTCTGCAGTGACCTCGACGACTTACGAATCTCCGGTAGGCAGCGATGAACCCATCAGCAGATTAGTCGGTGACAGCTTCCAGATGGAGTGCCGACGTGGCCATGCAAACGAAGATCACTAACCAACCCTTCTGGGTTTTATGACCACGCCCCTTCCACGTCTTGATCAACACTGGTCCAGCATAATCAACACCAGTGTTAGAGAACGCACGTGCTGGAGAAAGACGCGAAGTTGGAAGCTGTCCCATCAGTTGCTGAGCACGTACCCCACGTTGACGCACGCACTCCACACACTTGAGGATGCAGGACCTTACCGGCGCTCTTCCTCCAATAATCCAGTAAGACCTTCTGAGATGCGTCAACGTGAGTTGAGTTCCACCATGCAACGTTCGCTGATGGGCGTCCCTAATGAAAAGTTCTGCCAACTTGGACTCTTTAGGGGTAATCGCCTGATGCTTACTCTCTGGGTGCAGGTTAGAGAACTTCAATCTCGTTCCCACTCGGAGAATACCCTGACGGTCGATGAATGCAGTCAGTTTGGTCAGCGGATGCGATCGTCCAAGTTGCTGACCACGAGAGATGATGCTGCACTCTGACTGTAGATAAGAAGTCTGTGTGGCTTTGACCCAATACAGCCGAGCTGCCTTGATACCATCAGGACTGAGCGGATCCACCGGAGATTCACTGGGCATCCTCCTCATTCGAGCAACAACACGCAGGCAAATTGCTATTATTCGCAACAGTTTGTAGAGAAAGGAGTGCTTGGTGATGAGCTCCCAGAGAGTTGACCCCATTGAGATGGTAAACATGGATCCGGGCTTCTCTTCCAGATTCGCTGCCGGAACCAGTTTGGCATTCTCTTTTGGCCACTGAGAGGAGTCTACCTGCAGCCACTTTGGAGCCGTCCACCACAATTTATGAGCACTGAGTTGAGCCACAGTGATCCCCCGAGACGCACAATCAGCAGGATTCTCCTTACCGCTGATGTATCTCCACCTCACTCCCTCTACCATTTCCTATATGCTGGCTACCCTGTTATGGACATAATCCTTCCACCTAGAAGGATGAGCACTGATCCACGCCAGGGTAACCGCCGAGTCTGTCCACAGGAACACAGGAGCGGCATCAAGGTTGGGCTGATCACGCACGTACCTTGTGAGTTTTGCCAGAATGACTGCAGCGTTGAGCTCGAGACGTGGAATAGTGAGCCGCTTCAGCGGGGCTACCTTGGTTTTAGCTATTGCCAACGAGACGCTGACCCCGACCGAACTCACTACTCTCAGATACACCACTGCAGCCATTGCTGACTGAGATGCATCTGAGAACCCGTGGATTTTCACCTGAGAATCCTTCTTTATTCCGAGCCAAAGAGGAATAGAGATCTTTTCGATCTGAGATGGCTCCCCACGAAACTGAGTCCACTTGTTCGCGAGTTGTTGTGATAGCTCATCGTCCCAGTCCAGCTTCTCCAACTAGAGACGCTACAAAATGGCTTTCGCTTTGAGCACCAAAGGAGACAGTAACCCAAGAGAGTCGAACAGTTGAGCTATCGCAGAGAGAATATTCCTCTTCGTCACCTTTGAATTAACTGGGAGGTGGATCGAGAACTTGAGTTGGTCTGTATTCGGATCCCACTTCAGACCAAGAATCTTCGTGATGGAATCCTCTAGTGGCTTATGATCCTGAGAGACACCTTCTGGATTCAGAGATAGGAGTAGAGATGGGCTATTACTGTGCCACTTTGCTAGAGGAAAACCACCAGCTAAGCAGAGATCTAGCACTTGCTTGGAGACTTCTAGGAGATCACTCTCCTCCTCAGCACCACCACCGATGTCATCCACGTATCTTCCGCTGGTCAACGGAGAGATTGCTAGAGGAAAACGATGTCCTTCGTCCGCGGCCAGTTGGTTGAGAACTCTACAGGCTAAGAATGGGGCCGATTTAGTCCCGTAGGTCACGGTGGTGAGCTGGTAAGTGAACTGGCCTTGAGAATTCCGCCACAGAATCTGTTGAAGAGGCTAGTCCTCACGATGCACATTGATTTGACGGAACATCTTCGTAATGTCCATCATGAAAATGTACTTGCTCTGCCTGGATAAGAGCAGTACGTTCGAGATATCTTTCTGCATTTTAGCTCCAGTGTGTTGAATGACAGTTAGTGACACTCCTGAGCTGGTCTTACTGGAGCCATTGAACACTACTCTCAGCTTTGTTGTTTCACTACTTTCCCGGAGAACACCATGATGAGGAAAGTAGTACGTAGGAGTTGACAAAGTTGGTGTCTTAGAGCAGAACACTGCTTGGAGTCATGATTCAACTGCCCCTTCTCAGAGTCCCTCAACCCTCCTGAAGCCGAAGCTCCATGTGCCAAGGTCATCCCCTCAGAGTGACAGGCGATTCTCAAACCCCCGGTATTTCTCGAATTAGATGAGACGGGAACACGCACCATGTGCCCCAACTCTTCGTACTCCTTGAGAAATTCAGTGTATAGCTGAAGAGTCCGTTGATCCTTCTCCATTCCCCGAAACAGGCTGGAGAGACATGCGTTAGCTCGACCGCAAGAGTAGCCAAGCTCTGTCGGAGAACGTATAAGAGGCAGCCGAACCACATAACGCCCTGAGTCGTCTCGAAAATGGGTGCGCTGAAAAAACTCTTCACAATCTGCCTCTTTCTTAGTGAGATCATTATGTTCGACCTTCGGGACTTCCTCCTGCAGCCAGAACGAGGTGAGAAGGTCGTGAAGTTCCTCGTTACTGACTGAGACGTGATTAGAGCTAGACACCATTGAAGTCACTGCCGAAGTAGGTTCGAGGACCACCCAACCGAAGATCGTGAACATGGCTATAGGGGAGTCTGAAGGCCCCTGATGATCTGTGGCTCCACTATTGACCCGAAGAAGTCCGCGCCAATGAGATGGTCGATAGTTGTTGGCTTCATGTACTCCGGGTCAGCTAACCTCAGTCCCTTGAGATGGCTCCAAGTTTGAGTATCAGAGACTGAGAACGATGGCAATGCTGATGTGAGATGGTCAAGAATGTAGGCCGTGATCTGAAGCTGTTTGTCTGAGTGGAGTGACTTCAGACAGAACTGAAAATACCCCTTTGAGTATGACCTTGATCCACTAATACCAACAACAGGTAGCAAAGCTGGAAACTTCAACAAACTTAGCTTTACCGCAAGACTATCTGTAACAAATGATAACTCAGATCCAGGATCCAACAACATCCGAACTTCACAGCAACATCCATTCTCTGAAACGAGAGAAGCTAGCTCTGTTGCGAGAAGAACACCTGGTCTGAGTTGAGATGACGATTCATGAACTGATAATGCTACAGATGGAGAATCACTTAACAGTGACCGCCGTAGAGAACCTTCTGAAGTTACCGGAGCCGCTGTCGATGAAGTCGTTGGTTGAGAAGGTCACTGCTGCACTGAATCAGGCCCCTGAACAGTGGACTGCACAGTATTGTTACCAGACTGAGAACCATGAACTCGAGACTGCGACTGGTCTGGCTGAGAAGAACGTTGAGAATCGTTCTGAGGACGACTGATGTGTATCATTGACTGGTGACGTTTATGATACACAGTGCAGCTCTTGGTAGTCTTGCAGTTCCGAAGCGAGTGCTTGCCCAAGCAGTTGAAGCAGAGATATTTCCTCTCCACAAACTCCTTCCTCTTCTCTGGACTCAACTGCTTGAACCTCGGACACTTGTCAACATGATGACCATCAGAGCACATAGAGCAGACGTTCTCGCTCATTTCTGCCCATGATAGACAAGGACGTTGCTCTGATGGCTTCTGAGTATCAGCAGAGACGTTCAGGACTTTTACTGGTTTGGACTTTGGTGGCTGCTGGTGAGAACTCGACGTAACCCCTTGGGGAGCCTGCAGCTTAATCCTCTCCACTGCTCTCGCCCTGCTTAAAATGAACTCCTTTAACTCCCCATACGAAGGAAGGTCGTGGTAGCGCCGATCTTAATTTCCCACACCTCCCTCGTCTTGCAGTCCAGCCGACTCGAAACAACATGCACCAGGATGTCGTCCCACTGCTGCACAGGCCGCCCCAGTGATTTCAAGGTATTCAACGCTTCAGTGGTGGAGTTGAGCAGCGCGTTGAACTCCTTGGCCATTCGGCTGATGATCTTCGGCGCGGTGAACAACTTCTCCAGCTGGGTAGATATGAGGAAACCTTTATTTCCCAGGCTGGAAGGAAGGAGTCTTGGGACACTGGCTGGGTGGAAATCAGCTTCTTCGGGTCGCCGACAAGGGAAGTCAGAAGATAATGAAACTTCTCGACCATGGAGATGTTATTATTGCCAACGACCATCGAGAGGAAGAGATCCTTATAAGGGGTTTACTGTGAAAAATCCCCTGAAAACGTGGGGTAGAGAGATTTTTGGCAGTTACCTCTGAGCTACCTGCATAGTTGACGCCGATGCAGCAGGTTTACGAAGAAATGATTCCGAGAAATCCACCGAGTCGTCCAGGGACTTGATCAGTCCGATGAATGTAGTCCTTGTGGCGGAGTAACATTCCAAGCACTTGTCGTAAACCTGCGTCTTGACGTAGTCGTGCTCAAGAATCGCCGCGCAGTCCTTGCTAGAGAGCAGCTTCACGTGTTCCTCCTTGAACTGACCCCAATAGGTCTCCAAAATATCCAACTTGGACTGCAACTCAGTGATACGTGATCAGCGGATCAACCTGCCGTGACATGAGGCTGAAGCCTCAAGAAGGGGGTATGAAGGTTCCGGGCGTCATAAGGGTCAGAAGGGTCATATAGGCTTTAAGGGTCACAAGGGTCATGTGGAACATAAGTGAATTCATATGGGTCCTAAGGGTTATAAGGGTCATATGGAGCACAAGGGTCATATAGGCTATATGAGTCCCAAGACTCTTACCCCACTGGACAGGAGTTGGATGGAGCCCGATCCCCTCCCCCTTTAAAGGGGTTGCGGCGTAAATAAAATTAAACCAATCGTGTTTCTCTCTTCTTCTCCACTTAGGAGAGGGGGAGGACGAATTCTTACGGTCACACACACAAGGTCGTATGTCCCCCTGTAAAGAGGGGGGGGGTAAATAAAATTAAAGCAATCGTGTTTCTCTCTTGATCACCCCTTAGGAGAGGTGGGGGGTAAATAAAATTAAACCAATCATGTTTTTCTCTTGCTCACCCCTTAGGAGGGGGGGCCACTTACGGTCACTCACACAAGGTCGCATCGGGCGGCGGGGAGCGAGCGAAG